CGATGCTCGCCGCATCGAGCGTCCAGCGCGGCGCGCCCCGAGGCGGTTCAGCGGCGTTGGCACTTGGGCGTGCAGAGCTCGATGTCGCCGGCCGACATGATGCTCGAGATCTTCCGCGCGCTGCGCGTGCTGCAGTTCGAGTGGAAGATCGTGGCGCAGTACTCGCTCAAGTGCCGCCCGTGCACCGCGCGCACCGCGAGCGAGGGGATGGGGCAGGAGCCGATGACGCGCTTCAAGGTCAAGGTCGGCCTGCAGCTGTACAAGATCCAGGAGGACTCGTACCTATTGGACATCCGGAAGGTCCTCGCCGCAACCTCCACACCCGCCACCCCCTTACCCGCCACCTCCTTACCCGCCACTGCCCTCGCCCCCCCGCCCCCTTTGCCGCCCCCGCCCTCGCCGCCGCCTCCCTCTCGCCGCCACCCCCTTCGCCGCCCCCGCCCTCGCCGCAGGTGGACGGAGACGTGCTGCCCTTCATGGATGTGTGTTCGCTATTGTTAAGCGAACTGAAGCTGTAGCGGGGAGGCCGTCTCGGGTGGGGCTGCCTCTCTCACCGTGTCTCTCACCGACTCTGTGTCTGGGCTTGGGAACTAGCGAATCGTAGCATGTGTAATCTTTTCACAACTCGCACAACAGACAACACTGGTCCCCGGGGAAAGGCGCGCAGTTTCACTACTTGTTGGAGCCTCGCCAAGCTCCCCCAGAAAAGAAATCGAGTTCCGCGCACCTGCTCAGCACACAACATTTATATGTCCGCCTCGCCCTCCCGCGCCAACGCCGCGCTCCGCACGCCGCCGCCGTCTGCTGACAGCGGGCCGGGTGGTGCAGTCCCAAAGAACGTCCTCAAGGCGGCCGAGGACGGCCGCGTGGGACCAGTGCGATCGTGGCTGAATGTCGGCGGGAAGGCCGACACTCTCGCTGAGATACCCTCTGAGGTCAGCGGCCGTACGGTTCCATACACCCTGTTGATGATCGCCGCACAGCACGGGCACGCGCAGATTGTCGAGCTCCTCCTGAAGCGTGGCGCACACATCAACCTGCAAACCAGTCGCGGCACCACTGCGCTCAGCACTGCAGCCTGCTGCGGCTGCAAGCGAATGGTGGAGATGCTGCTGCAGCACGGTGCGGAGTTGAACCCACAGGACTCCGCCGCCTGGTCGGCGCTGGCAGCGGCGGCGCAGGGTGGACAAGAGCGGATGGTCGACCTGCTGCTGCGGCGTGGCGCAGAGATCGACCGGCAAGACAAGGACGGTGACACCGCGCTGATGCTCGCCACTTTCTACGGCCGCCCCGCCGTCGTGCTCCGCCTTCTGCGGGCGGGCGCAGGCATGACGTTGCGCACACAAGGCAAGACGGCGCTGCAGTTGGCCAAGGAGAGCGGCCACGCCGAGTGCGTCCAGGCCTTCAAGACGTACCTCGGGGAGGTGGCTGCGCGCCGGAGCAAGGCGCCGTCGGCCGAGGCAGGCGGCGCAGGCGCGGCGGTGGGTGCGAGTGCCGCGGCCTCTGCTTTGAGCGGCGAGGGAGCCGCGGAGGCCAAGCCGAGCAGCGGCGGTGCGGTGCCAGAGGAGGTTGTGGACGCGGCTGAGCGAGGCGATGAGGAGGCGGTGCTGGCGTGGGTCGACGGCGGCGGGCGGGTCGACGCGGGGTTCGAGTACGTCTTTTCGGACGGCCTTGTGAGCGGCGTGACGCTGCTGATGCTCGCTATGGCACATGGCCACGAGGGGCTGGCCGAGGCGCTGCTCCAGCGCGGTGCGGATCTCTCGTTGCAGACCAGCAGTGGCGATACCGCGCTGATGCTCGCCGCCGCGAATGGCTTCGAGAAGCTGGTCGAGATGGCGTTGCGGCACGGCGCGGAGATCAACGAGCGAAATGGCAAACACTGCATCACCGCGCTGATGGGCGCCGCCTCAAGCGGCCACGAGAATATGGTCCACGAGCTGATCCGGCGCGGCGCGGAGGTCGACCTGCAAGACAAGAACGGCACCACCGCACTGATTCAGGCCGCTTTCTTCGGCCACCCCGCCGCCCTTCTCTACTTGCTGCGGGCGGGCGCAGACGTGACGCTGTGCAGTGCAGATGGCAACACCGCGATGCAGTGGGCCAAGCAGGAGGGCCACACCGAGTGCGTGCGCGCCCTCGAGGAGCATGCGGCGGCCGAGAAGGCGGCGGAGAAGGCGGCGAAGAAGGCTGCGGAGGCGGCGGAGAAGGCGGAGGGGGAGGCGGCGTGGGCCGCAGGAGCGGCGGAGAGGGCGGCGCAGAGGGCGGCGGAGGAGAAGGAGGCGGCACGGCACGCCGAGGAGCTGCTGGCGGAGGTCGAGGCAGAGAAGCGCGCCAAGGGCAAGAAGGGCAAGAAGAAGAAGAAGGGCGGCGGGGCGGGCGGGGCGGGGCCGTCGCAGGAGCCCGAGGAGGGTGCCGAGGCGCCGTCGGAGGCAGACGCAGCCGAGGCGGCGAAGAAGGCCGGGGAGGCGAGGCTTCTCCTGCTTCTCGAGACGCTCACCGAGGAGAGGATCCGGTTCGGCATCACCGCGGAGAGCCAGGCGGCGGCGTCGGCCGAGGTGGCACAGGCGGCACGCTTGGACGCTGAGGCGGACGAGGCGGAGGAGGAGGCGGAGGCGGAGGAGGAGGCCGAGGCGGTGGCTGAGGCGGCGGAGGCGGATGCCGAGGCTGCACAGGCGGAGTCCAGGGCGGCGGAGGAGGCGGCTGAGGCGGCGCTGGAGAAGGCCACGGCGGCGCTGGAGGAGGCCAAGGCGGCGCGTGAGGGGCGCGAGGCGGCGCGAGAGGAGGCGGCGGCCGCGACAGAGGCGAGGCGTGCTGCTGCAGTCGCTGCAAGGGCCAGGGCGACCGCCGCCAGGATGGCAGCGGAGGCGGCCCAGCGCTCATAGCGCGAGCTGCTCAGAAGAAGCGCGTGGCCACCACCCTGCGGACTCTCTGGGTGGAGCTTGGGAGCTTCCGTCGAGGACACGCTTCCCGCAGGGTCATCATGCACCGCTGATATGTGTGTTTGGTGTTGTCGCTGTTCACTGGAGCCGGGGAGGTCCGGGGGGGGGGGGGGGGCTTGTGGGGCGAACTCCGCGCGCGGACCGCGGTGCTCGCCGCGCCGGGGGAGAGAGCCGGACACTGCGAGCCGCACCGCCCGCCAACGTACAGCTTTTTCATAGCAGGGTTCAGAAAGAAAGACAGATGAAAGAAAACAGACAACCCAAACGAGGGATAGGGGAGGAGGACAGTCTGAACAACAGTTGGACAGGGTCCCCACCTGCACGAGCAGGGTTTTGGAAGGACGATCAGGGGGACAGGGTTCAATCGGTGCGTTCAATCTTCACGCTTTTCTTCCTATCGAAACCCCTCGTCAAAAAACAAATATTTACGCCCGGGGTTGCCGGCGATCTAGGCGGAAAAAAGTCCTTCGAAGACACGGCCGGGATCATGTCAATCCTCTGCTTGTGCGTCCTCATAACAGGCGTCGCAGCGACTCTCGACCAGTGCGTCACCGACCGTGCGTCCGGCGTCACCACCTGCGAGCGGGCCGTTCACGATGCGCCTGGGTGCACCGAGATCTTCATCTGTGCCGTTGCAGCGCCAATGCGATCAGCATGCGAGAGCAGCAGCTGCGCGAGTGTGTGCGTGTGGAGGCAGATGGCGGTTGGTTCAACAATCGCTCGGGTCCCGTCAGCGAGCCGCCGTGCTCCGTTAAGTGCCCCAACGCTACAGCCGCGGCTATTGCCGTCGCCGACAGCCATGGCCATGCCCACTCCCATGAGGACGGCGGCTCCAGGAGGCTCGGCATCACCGAGCGCGCCAGGCAGTGGCCGGACCAGCTGATCCGTTGGCACTTTGCGAAGCAGAGCGGGAGCCGCGGGTGGGCTCCCGGCTCGCTCTTCCGTGGCGTCGTCGAGGCGGCCATCGCGAGGATCGAGGAGAGCACGTGCATCTGCTTCGTCGAGGTCGATCCGGACGAGACGGACGAGACGCAGCCCACCTTTGTCGGAAGCAACGAGCCGCGGCTCGCAATCTACGGCTCGGGGTCGCAGGGGTCAACGAACTCCTGCTCAGGGTCTGCGACCGTCGGAGCCTACACGTCTGCGACGATGACGCTGAGCTCCGGCTGTCCAGCCTTCGAGGGCGTCGTCGTCCACGAGTTCTTACACTCCCTCGGTTTTTTACACGAGCACTCTCGCCCCGACCGCGACGAGCACATCGAGGTGCGGCTTCAGAACGCGCAGGTCGGCGCTCGCGGCAACTTCGAACGACTGGATGCGAGCGACTGGTACAACATCCAGGGCGACCCAGACAGCAGCTGGGACTGGTTTTCGATTATGCTGTACTCGAGCTCCACCTTTGCCAGAGAACGAGGCGTGCCCACGATGGTCGTCCGCAACAACAACCAGGTTGTCTCGGACGGCCGCGGCAGCTCAAAGGCTGCAAATTCCGGGGACACATTTGGGAGCACTCAAGTCCTGTCGCAAAAGGACATTGGCCAGATCAACTCCAGGTACAGCTGCGGGCTGCAGACGACCTGCCCGGGCTACGTCGCACCCGCAGTCTGCGAAAATGTGTTGGAGCGGATCGCGTGCGCTGCTCTCGCGGAGAGGGAGCGCAACCCGTGCCGCTGGGACAGCGACGATGCGCGGTGCGGCACCTGCGCCGACACGCCCGGCTGGAGACTCGACGGTTGGCGCTTCAGCGACGGTAGTGGCGTCGACTGTGAGTATCTCGGTCAAGTAACACTTGGAGACGTGCCGTTCGACTGCGGCTCCGACTTCAGGGGAGGCGGGATCGCCGCGAGCCAGGCGTGCTGCGCGTGCGGAGGAGGTGGAGCGGGGGCCCCTGGTCCCTCGCCGCCATCGTCGGCGTCGCCGCGGCCGCCACTACCACCCAGCTCGCGGCCTCCGCTCTCTTCACCGCCGCCGCCACCATCGCCACTGCCGCTCTCCGCCTCGCCCTTGCCACCGCCGCCCTCCGCCTCGCCCTCGCCACCGCCAGGGACCGGAGTACTGGCTGCATCGCCCGGCTCCGACAACGCCCGCGGGACGGTAGTCGCGGCGATTGGAGTGGCTATTGGGCTGCTCCTCGTCGGAGTCTTCGTGGCAGCTGGCTGCATGGCTCGCAGTCGCGGCCGTGCGGGCAAGGGTCGAGCCCATCCCATTCGCGGGCGTAGCATCTACAACTCCGAGCCTCGAGGACTGACACGAGGAGCGACCCTCAAGAGCCCACAAGCACTAGCTGCCTCGCACGTCGAGACGCCGCGGCCACCACTGCAGCCATACGCGCGCGGGCGCCCGACGCCACCTCGGCGTCCACCTCCTCTGCCGCCGCCCCCGCCGCCCCCGCCGCCCCCGCCGCCCCCGCCGCCCCCGCCGCCCCCGCCGCCGCTGCCACGGCCGCCGCCGACGACGGCGACGACGACCCCGCCGCCGCTGCCGCGGCCTCCGCCGCTGCCGCCGCCGCCGCCGATGACGACGACGATGACGACGACGACGCCGCCCCTCCGCCCGGATGCGGCTCCTCTCCGAGCCACCGCAGCTCGTGGTGCGTTCGTCAGCTCCTCGCCACCTACGCGCACCCAGCCGGCGGGTCTCCGAGGCGGTCCGCAAGGAGGGGTGGCGCGGGCGGTGGCGGCGGCTGAGGTGCGGGCGAGAGGGGGGTCGCCGCCGGGGCGGAGGCCTCAGCAAAGGGAGAGCATCTCTATGGGGGGGTTCATTTGACGCTGCGCTCGTGAGCAATGTCACCAGCCGAACGTAGAGCCGACCTCTGCACATATAGAGCTGACCTCTCACTCCTCCGCTCTGCCTCCGCAGCTCTGTGACCCGTCTGTCCCGCGCCGGCACTGGTCTGGCGAGAGAAGCTTGAGCGTACCTATCTCCGACTTCTGGACTGTCCATAAATAAATAAGAACGGACACCTCTACTGTGAGATGGGTAAAAATGTCCATTGTGTGTACTACGTCGCAGTGTTTCTGAGAGCAGCTGTTGAGATGCCATTTTTAGGACGGCGACGCTGCTGCACACGTGTCTCTGTCAGAGGCGCTCTGTGTCGCCTTGATCAAAACGGCTTTAGCCTTTACGCTAGCAGCTCACCTCGCTCGGAGCCCTCTGGCTACTCTCAGGCCGGCGGCCGCTAGAGCGGCGACCCCAGCGATGACGCCGGGGGCCGACAAGGCAGACAGTGTGGACGTGGTCCACGACGTAGAGGAGCGCTGGATTCCGTTGAGGACATACAACGCCTTCTCTAGCGTAAGGCTCACCGCCGACAAGGTGAAGGTTGGAGGCTCGTCGCCGATGTCGTTTCCGACGGCAAGCGCAGCGAGTCGCTGTGGTCGTCCCGTTGCAATCGTCCGATAAGTTGGGCCGGTCTGCGGCGGCAGCTCCGGTGGAAACGCGCCATCGTGTGGGAGTAGTGGCTTGCGCGGTCTGGCTAAACGGCGCTGTGTCTTGCGTGACGATTGTGGCTGACGGCTGCGGCGATGCTCCACGACGGCGGCTGTGGCAACCCCCGCTGCAGCTAGGAGCGCGAGCCAAACTGAACCGTACCGACCCGGTGGGGTCGACTGCAGCTGCGTTGCAGTGCGTGGGACCGGTCCTAGTGGGCGTGCTTCCCTGTGGGTTTCGCGCAGGTTTGATACGGTCAGAATCGCACCTGGAAGGCAGCCATGGAGTTAGGGCCTTGCAGCTGGCATGGAGAGTGGGACCAGGCAGTGCACGCCTCCGAGCAAATCGCTAACAGTGTCGCCGAACGCAGGGCTCGAGAGGGCACGCTCGACATCAGCAATGGAGGCCGTTGCGTCCTCCTCGCCTGCGGTGACAGCGGAGGTTGCTCAAGGCACGAGATGGGCTCTGGCAGTAAGATCTTCTAGCGTTACCAGCAAGGTAGACAGTCACGTCGGCACCGTTGGGGCCGACTGATTGCACAGTGACGGGCGGGCTGCCCGGCAGCGAAGCTGAGATCCCTTCCTCGAGATTGTGCGTGTCGATGGGCAGCAACCTGCGTCGGGCTGTCTGCAGCCCCTCGGTCCAACTCAGGTGGAACTCGACCGTATTGACCCCCTCCGGCTCGGAGCGCGCAGGCGGGAGCTGCACCGTTAGGGGCGGCGGAGGTGGCGGCGTCGGGCTAGGTGGCATCGCCCCTGGTAGACTACGCGAGGCGCATTGGCTGTTGTGATAGTAATGAGTGCAGCCAGTCGCCGTGCTCTCGTTTGTGATGAAGTAGCCCACCGAGAGCATCGCCACCGCACCGAGGCCAGCCGCTGCGTACCACCCAGCACGGCGGGCAACGTGCAAGAGCGACTTGGAAGGCGCCTCCGGAGGGGGTGGCTCCTCGGCAAGGGGGACCGCGCTCGATGTGCTATCTGCCTCGCTGAAGCAGCTTCCCGCATAGCTCTCTGCGTAGCTTTCTGCGTAGCTCTGCACGCTCTCGGAGTCTGAGAAGCCGCGTGAGATGCGGCCTCTTGCAGAGTTGCGCAGCTCATCGCGTCGCTTCTTCACCGCCAGCCGGCGCAGCTCGGGAAGCTTTCGGCTGAGGTGGCGGCTACTAACCGGGGCCTCGGACGTCAGCTGAGACCACGACTGCCTGCGCGGCTGCTGCTGCTGCCGAGGGGATGCGATCATCCTGCGATCATCCGGTCGAGCGACGTTTTGGCTGGCCAAATTCGGTAAAATCGTTTCGGGTGCGCTATCAAATTCTATCTCAAAACGCTCGAGGTACATGTCCATGAGAGAGAGAGAGAGAGAGACAGAGAGTTGACCGCACCGCGGATCCTCCCCACTCCCGCCTCTCGTTTGTGTCACACCACGCGGAACGTATCTCCATCGCTTCGTTCGGTGAAGGGGGTGAACCGCGCCATCCTTGATCGTCGTGCAAAGCTCGCTTCCGAGCTCTCACGCCGCGCATAGGGCCCTTAGGGGCCTAGAGAACACAACCCCCTCTCCCTTCTCTCCCAGTAAGCTAAAAGTACGTACGCACATGCACATGTGAGAGCCTCGATCGCCGTGCAAAGCTCGCCTCCAAGCTCTCACGCCGCGCGTAGGGCCCTTAGGGGCCTAGAGAACACAACCTCCTCCCCCTTTTCTCCCAGTAAGCCGAAAGTACGCACATGTGCATGTGCATGTGCATGACATGTGCATGTGCATGCACATGTGCATGTGCATGGACATGGTTTTCAATACCAAACAACTCTAACACTCACACGTCATTTGGCTTTTGGGGCCTGGAGCCCTGTTCACGCGCGCGCGAGACGTGCAGACAGGGTTGCCAGGTGAGAGCGAATGGCGCGGTTCACGCCTCGCACAACAGAGAGAGAGATGCGCTCTGCATGGTGGGACATAAAAGAAAGCGAGTACTTGGGCGAGTAGGCCGTGCGGTCGACGCTGCCGCGCGCGACCTTGCGCGCGAGGCGGCGCAGCTTGAGAACGGCGGTGGGCGAGAAGCCGCCGCCGAACGTCTCGTGGAGCAGCAGGTTGAAGTTGTTGCGCTTGACAAAGATCGCGTCGTGGTAGAAACCGCGATGCGCCTTGACGTAGCCGTGGCCGTTCTTGTGGTCGAAGGGTTGGCCGGGCTGCCCGCGCGCCTTGCAGCCCATGTTTAGGCGGCGGGCCTTCTCTTCGGTGTTGCCGAAGGGGTAGGAGTGGCCAACGGAGGCGGGCGTGCCGCCGCTCGAGGCGTTGCCAACGCCCGCCGAGGAGGTCTTGAGGAGGGGCGTCCAGAGCTTGACTTCATTCACCTCATCGCATCCTCCCGGGCCAGCGTGGGGTTCCGCGAGGTCGACCTTGTACCCCTCGTTGTACTGCCGGGTGAGCTCTGGTTTCTCCTTGTCACCGTGCACGACCGGCGCGTTGGCCGGGGCGCGCATCGCGTCCGCCCAGGCGGCGAGGACGCCGTCGTGGGGCCGCCGGTGGTGGGCCTTGTTGTAAAGGTAGTCGCCAAAGAAATCGACTGGCATGCCCCGCTCGAGCGCGACCCGAAGGGTGGGAAGCGCCACGGAGAGCCAAAGGCCGAGCTTCCGCTGGAGCTCGTCCTGGAGGGCGTCGGAGGAGAGGGCGGTGGCGTACGTGCCGTCGACACGGACATCGAGGGCTTTGCCGGCGAAAGGCGTTGAGGCGGAGACGAAGCGCGAGGCTTCGCGGTTGTTGACGGCGCTGTCTCCGAGGGACGGGTTGTTCTTGACGTGCACGTCCCGCGCCTTGACGAGCTCCTGGTGCGCGAACCAGTCCTTGTGATTCTTGATGGCAGCGAGCGCCCGCGGCCGCGGGTACGTGGATTTGCAAGTGCCATTGAGAATCGCGTCGGTAGCTGGAAGGGACTCGGGCTCGGGGAGCGGGACGCTCTTGGGGTAGAACTCAGTCAGGTAGCCGCCGCGGACGGTGTGGTACTTGGTTTTGTCGCGGGCGGCGCGCTTCTCGCACACCTCCTTCCAGTCCGAGAGGGCGGACTCGTAGGTGGCGATGGCTGCGGCGATGGTGGGGTACTTGGACGCACCTCCCTCGTCGAGGGCGAAGTCGGGGTTGTGGGCGACGAGGGTGCGCCAGTTCTTGAGGAGCGACATGGAGAAGTCGCTGTCGGCTCGCGTGAAGGCGGTGTCGATGTTGCACCCGCCCATCTCGGTCGGCAGCCGCGCCTGGAGCCACGCGAGGTCGCGGAGCGCCTGGGGCGAGGCGTCGGCGCGAGCAATGCTCTCAAAGGACTTGCGGATGCGGTTGTGCGCGAACTCGAGAGCGTCGCACGCGACATTGGGCGGCGTGATGCCGGCAATGTACTTGGTCTTTGCGCAGGCAATCCGTTGGACGAGGTTGAGGCGGAGCTGCGAGGTGTTTGTTGTTTTGTTGGACATGTGAGATAGACGAGAACGCAGAAAAACAAGCAACCGGCCCACACACAAGCCGAGCTCAAGGATGCGAAGTCCAGGCCGATGAAGGCCGAGGGCCACGGCAACAGCCTCGTGCGATAGCCACTGCAGCATGATCTGTGCGCCGGCCCAGACGCTCTCATGTGTGGTGCGCAGCTAGCTGGCTGCTTTCAAAGAAAGAAAGAAAGAAAACGGACAACCCAAGGGAGGGATGGGAGGACGGCACGCCGCCACCACACATGGATTTTAAGGAGAGGTGTGTGGTGCGCTAGCCGTGGCTGCTTTCGTTCGGGATTCCAAAGAACAAAATTCTTTTCCGAAGACGTGCCGACGGGCGCCGCCTTTTTGGGCGGCGTATAATGGTGGCCCTGCTCATCCTGCTGCCATGGAGCTTGGTGCCACGGCCGGTCCTCGACTCCGCTGCCAGTCGATCGGGCCCGTGCGACTTGCTCGGGGTCAATCGCAGCGCGGACATGAACCGTCCTCCCCATGCTGTGGCTCAGGTGAAATTCTGCGTGTTTCAGCGAGAACCAAATGCCCTCACTTCATCCTGCCCAAGGGTCGCGCTACGCGTGGGCTGCTGGTCGGCGGTCACGATCCCACACGATGGTGGCCTCAGCAGCGGCCTCGCGCGGCAACTTCCTGGACCTCCTCGCTGCGATGGAATGATCAGTCTGCACGACTTCAGCGAGGCTTGGGGATTGCTTCCGGTGCAGGGCATTGGGATCACGACCCCCACGGGACTTGGCCGCCAGGGGGCGGCCCCTCTCCGAACCTCGCCCTCGGGCGTGTCAAAGTCGTCGGCCAGGGAGGCAGGACTCCTGCAGGACACCTTCGGGTGGATCTCAGCAGAGCCGGCAGGCACCCCGAGCTCGCAACGCCCTTCACGACTGGGAGGGCCAGGGAGCGCACGTGCTTCGATCGCCGGGGGCACCATGGAGGGTGCGCCTGCGCCACGGAGGCACTCCGGGCGGCGTATGCGATGTGGGGGGAGGGCCGGGGAGATGCGGCCTCGGCGCGTGCTGCCGCGACGCGGCACGGAGTCGACCGGGCCACGCCGGCGAGGGAGATGCGCTCCAGCGAGGGTCGCGTCCTTGAAACCGCCGACGCGTTCCTGGACGACAAGGCCGATCGACTCTGGAGGACGCGGTCGGCGGCCCTTCGCGAACTGGCACAGAAGGTTCGAGACGGCACGGATCTTGTGCTCCTATGCGCGGGTAGGATTGAGTCCTGTCACGGCGATCTGCTGAGGAAGGAGATCCTGGCCGACGCGGCGCAGCTCGAGGTCACCAGCAAGAAGAAGCCGCGCTCCGACAAGGGCAGGCCAAGGGGTCCTCGGGGGCCCAGGGCCGACTCGGTGGAGACGGCGGCCCGCATGGGGGTGCTGTCGACCTTCTACCTCCGGCACGCTTATGGACGGGACAGCCCGGGGCTGCATGAAGAAGACGGGGTGCTCTCCGCGAACGGGGGGGTGCTGTGCGCAGGGTGCGGGGAGGAGGCGCCCGGGCTCGGGGCGCGGGACGGGGGGGGGGGAGGCGGCGGAGGGGGCGGCGGGGGGCGGGAAGGGGGGGGCGGCGCGGGGGAGCGGGGGAGGAAGAGGGGGAGGGACCCGATTGCGGAGGAGGCGGTGGGGGTGGAGGGTGGGGAGGAGGGGGGCGTGTCTGGGGAGATGGGGGATCGGGGAGGGCGGGTGGAGGAGAGCGGCTCATCGAGAGAAGGGGGGAGGGGGGGCGAGAGGCGACGCCAGCGGGGCAAGCGGAGGCCGCGCAACCCGAGGGAGTCCGGGCGGATACAGGGGGAGGCTGTCTGAAGTGATCCGGGGGGCTAGGAGTCTTGGGGGGGGTAAAACCCCTCCGGGTTGCTAAGAGTCTTTGGGGGGGTAAAACGTCCCCAAGTTGCTATGACTGCAGTTTTTGCCCATTTGGGCCCCCCCCCCCCCCCCTGGGCTCCCCCGCCTCAAGCGCCTACCCCCCCCCCCCCCTCCCCGCCCGGCCCCCGCCCTTCCTCCTCCCCCCCTCCGTCCCGGCTCCACTCATCCCTCTCTCGCCATCGCCTGCAGGTGCAGGGAAACACGAAACGAAAGTTGATGGGCTTGCCCATCCCGGAGTGGTTCGATCCCACATGAATCCGAGACGGTGATGGGAGGCGTCTACCAGCTGGTGTACGACGACGGGACGGTCGAGACTCTCCATGTGGAGAGCGACACCTGGGAGGTAGCGGGGTAGTCGTGAGTGAGCACGTGCCCCCTCGCGTTGTGTCATAGCGGGATCCCCGCGTACGCCCCGGACCCCGCCCCGCGAGCACGCTGTGTCTGTTCTGCCAACAATTTACCTAAAACTCCTTGCCGATGTGTCACCCTTTTCCCCAAAGAAAGTCCGTGAAATCTTCGATCAAAGTGCGCGCGTCGACGTCCCTTGGCAGGAACGCGTTGCGTGTGCCTCTCCCACCAAGTAGAGAAGGCGGAGGCGGTGCTCTCAGAGGAGCGGAAGCAGCCCAGATGCCGGACCCGGGCACTATCTGTGTGGTGGCGAGCTTCGCGCTCTTCGAGATGGCGGTTGGGGTGATAATCTCGTTCCTCGTGCGGCAATCAGACGAGCAGCGGTTGGGGCAGGAGAGGGAGGACGAGGCAAAACTGAGCGACGCGATCAAGCAGCTCGATGAGCGCTGCTATGGCGACGAGCGCTGTTCCGCCGCTGACGAGTGCAGCATCTGTCTGGGCCGCTACGAGGCGGACGATAAGGTTCGTAGACTGAAGTGCGGCCACGAGTACCACTCGGAGTGCATTGAGCAGTGGGCGCGGTGCAAAGGGCTGGACGCCGCGTGCCCTCTCTGCACGCGCCCTCTCTTCCCGCCGCGCACTTGCGCGCCGCCAATCGTTTCATCGCAATCAGCACCTGCGATCACGATGCTATAGCGCTGAGCTGCGTCGGTTGCGCGCGTGACGTGGTGCGCTTGTGCAGCAGAGGCGCGCAGAGGGGAGGACCGGGAACTGTCGAATGTGGGGGCCGAGTACGTATACGCGTGTGTGGCAGGTTAGTACAGATGTGGTTACCATGAGCAAGCAGGGCGGGCGGGCAGCGTGGGCCGTGGGCGGGCAGCTGCGGGGCGTGTGTGTGCGCGCCGGGCGCGGCCGCAGGCCGCACGGCGCACGCTGCGGATGATGGCGCGTCGTAAGAGGGCACCTGGGCATGTGATCTGATGCAGCTTGCCGCCCCGGCACGCGCCCGGGAAAGATTGTGAAGCGCGTTTTGACGGCGCGAACATCGATCGACGGGAGATACCAACCGCGCGCGCGGCAGTCTCGCCGCGCGGCGCGCCGCCAGCGCGCTAGTCTCGCTCCCTAGTACCGAAGGGTCCCTAGTGTCGGCGGCGGACACGCGGGACGCATGGCGGGACGGCCGCACCCCCATTTTGCATTTTCTCGCGACACGTGCATTCCCCAGCGTCGCACCTCACACGGCGACGGTCCACACTGCCACCACTCTTGAGCCCGCGCGCGCGCGACGTCACACCGCAAACGAGCTGATCAGCTCCAGCTCGCGCGCGACGCTCCCACTAAACTCGCTCGCGCCGCCTCGCTCTGCGGCGCTCACGGCCTCCGCCTCGATCTCCAGCAGCGCCCGCCGCATCGCCTCTGGGACAGAGCGGCCGGCGAGGTCGATCGAGCGCCACCGCCTCCACAGAGCGAGGCTGCCCCCGTCTCCCGCCGCCGCCGCGGCTGGGTCGCCAAACGTCCACCGCTTGTAGCACGCGACGAGCGGGTCCGAGGCGGCGGTGAAGAAGTGCGAGGCCGTGTGGCCTCCGCCGCGTGCTAGCCTACAGGCAAGGCAACTCGCTGCAGCCCCGCCGGGCGGTGGCATCGGAGAGCCCGAGCCTGTCCCGGGGCGGGCGCCACGAGATCTGCGAGCCCGTCGACATGAAGCCGTGAGTAGACCGGAAGCAGATGCCTGACAGGGCGTTGGAGTCGGGGCGTGGTGAGGGCAGTGGGTACTTGACCCGTCCCCAGAGGCGCCCCACCGCGCCGCACCGCTCTCCTCGTCGCGCAACACGCCCGCCATCCAGCCCAGCCAGCCCGCCACGTCTCCTGCAGGGAGCGAGCCGTCCGACACGCGGCCCGCGGCGGCGGCGAGGTGGTCGGCGCCCGCCCGCTCGCGCCCGCGCACGTCGAGCTTCGCGTGCGCCCTCCCGCCCGCGCCTAGAGGGAGAGGCAGAAAAGGGCTGGCCGAGAGAGAGAGCGAGCCTCGCGCCCCGCCCGCCCGACCCTCGCCGACGCTCCGCTTCCAGTCGAAGGGGCCCTCGCCGTCCCACCACCCCTGGGCGGGCAAGGGAGGCGGCGAGCTAGTGGAGCTGCGTGGAGTGCAGCAGTGAGGAGAGGCAGCGGCGAGGCCCGCGCCTTTGCGACGCATAGCTCCTTGAGCCCGGCGGAGCAGGACTCGACGCCTGCAGCGGTCAGCAAAAGGGCTGCTACAAGTGCTGCGGCGCTGCAGCAGCGCGGGGGAGACGCGGTGCCGGTCCGGATCGAGAGGCCGTTCGAGATGTTGCGGCCCGCGCCCGGAGGAACCCTCTCCACCGCCCAGTGGCGCGTCCCCGCCGTCTCCACGACGAAGGCCTCGCCTGCGTCCGCCTGTGGGAGGATTCACGGAAGCTTCGATGAGGAGCTCGCCTCCCATCACCAGAGCCCTCTGCCGCGCGTCTGCCAGCAGGAAGCCGTTCTCGTACGTCCAGTCGCCGCCCTCCTCGCACGCGCCGCCCTGGCAGGGCGGTGGTGCAGCAGAGGCAGCGGTGAGCGGCCATACGGCTCTGGCAACCATCAGCCCGCGGGTGTGTCAGTGGCTGTGGGCGGCGGGGAGGCTGCTTTATGGAAGCGGCGCCTGGCCGTGCTCCTCCAGCAGCGAGGTGAGGTGTCCGACCGCCGCTCTCGCCGTCGCGCCTCGCTCCAGCGCCAGCCGCAGCAGGTCCATCCCGAGAAGCCTGCAGTGGAGGCTGCGTCACGGGTCCGAGAGATGCCTTGCGTCCAGCTGCGGAGCCCTCCCAGAAGGCCTCGGCTCTTCCCCGAGCTCGTGTGCGAGGAGCGAGGAGACGGCCTCATTCCCGCCGACCACGCCACACGCGTTGGCACCGATCTCGCACCTGGTACATGCAAGACCGGAGGTGACGGGGTGGGTCGCACCCAACGCACCTCGGCTCACCAAAGATCTAGCCCCCACATCCAGGCAGGCTTGGAGAGCACGACTGCGTGCGTGCGCTCCACCTGAGGGATCTCGATGTGCGTGCAGCGCAGCATCGATCCCGGCGCATGACTTGCTGCCGGGCAATGCATCACCTCGTGCGCTTCATCAGACGGCCGATCTGCATTCTTTCCAAAGACCGTCGCCGCCGGCCCGCCACCGCCCGCCACGTAGACAAAGGTGTCGCACGAACGCGGGGGCGGTGGCCGACGTGATGAATCGGCTTGCATACATGCATTCACTGCACCTCGGCTAGAGGGAAAAATTCCTTGCGTCGGACGCCGGTTCGGCGCTCGCTAGAGGAAAAAACCTCGAAAAAGAAAAAATCTTGCGCCAAAAGGGACGCGCGGCGGCGACGATGATCCCTCCCTTGTGGTATTTGGTTTCTTTACGATGTCCAAGCGCGAGCTCAAAGACCTCGGGCCGGCGCTCGCGTATCGCCCTACGCACCGCGGGCCGACGGTCACTGCGCGCGTGAGCACCGGACCGCCGGCGCCAAGGAAGAAGGAGGCTGTCGCCGATGTAAATAAGAATTAGGTGCCCGGTAGGCTTGGCTGCAAAGGGGATTTTCGCGTTTTGTTTTTTTATTCAATGTTTGCAACAAACGGAATCAAGAAAAGAAACGACCGCAAAAGCAGGCGGCGTCTCGTGCTCGACCAGGATCGCCGTCCCGGCGCGAGAATGCAGCCGGGCTTGCCGTCGTGCAGCCCTTTTTGCTTCGGCTCGTCGTCAGCGACGCGCCAGTCCTGGCGCAGCCGCCCCGCCGTGCGGTCCACGGCCTTGCAGCCCGTCGACGCGCCCGACGACGTGACCGCGGCCGAGATGGAGGCCTTCATGGACCACATCCAGCCGAGCTTGTACCAGCCGCCCGACGACAGCGACATCGCCCATGAGTTCACGGCGTGGCTGGCGGCGCGCCGCGAGACGTTGCGGACCGCCGCCGGTGCAGGCCGCCCTCGCGACTCGCAGGCCGACGTCGCCGCACCCGACGCCGCCGGCGGCGAGGAGTCGCCCGACAACGAGACGGGGCGCGCGACTCCGCCCGCACCTGCGCCGGCGGCGGCGTCCGGCCGCCGGCGCCGGCGCAAGCCGCTCGCCGGCGGCGGCGGCGAGAAGGAGAACGCGGACGTCGAGATGGACGCGCTCATGGTCGAGCGGCCCCGGCCTGCGCAGACGGAGCAGCGCTGGCGCGCCGTCCTTGCCGCGCGCCACGAGGATTACGACCGGGAGCTCGAGAAGGACAACCCGGAGCGGCCGTGGCACAGGGTGCCACACTTCCAGGGCGACGTCGAGGCGGAGTGCAAGCTGTGGGCAAGGGTCTCGCGTGCGCTCGGCGAGGCATACGCGCGTGACGGCTGGCGCATCGAGACCATCGAGTTTGACCCCAAGCGACCCGGGCAAGCCAAAACCGCGCGCGCCACGCGCCACAA